TATAAAGGGGAATTTGTGCAAAATTGCAAAATAAATAAATAAAAATTGCGTGCATTTTGTTTAAAAACGCTTTTTTTTAATTTTAGGGCTCAATAAAATGAAGAAAAAAAAAACGTTAGTGGCCCTGTTTCTTTGCTTCAAGGTAATTTTAAAACTATAAAAAGGCTAAACTTAACGTGTTCAAACACTATTGACACTATAGAAAGGTGGACATGTTGCCACATTCTATGTTTATCCCTCTCAACATTTAACACAAACTAACACACACACACACACACACACAAAGGGGAGAACCAGACCATCTGTTGTGCAATAGGCAAACATTGAGATGGCCCTAATAGCACAAAATGTTTCACCTTCGGCCTATATTTGGCCGGGTCACCATGGCGACGCAACCAGTCGCTGCCAATAATGAAATGTATACAGTGCCTTTAGCCAAACGCCATTTTAGCGCTTGTCTACAGAGAGAGTAGATAACTAAATGTATGGGGATGACACTGGCAAATGTCAAAATTTACGTCAATCCCACATAATTTGGTTTTCTATTCTACAAGCGCTAAATGGCATTTGGCTACAGCTACAGGTCTATAGAGAGTAATTCACCTGGTATCTGTTTGGTTGCTCAACCAATCTGCTCGGACTGCAATAAAGGTCAATCTTTATACTGTCGCAGTATAGTGTGGCGACGCTGGTGTCTAGTACGGTAGCTTACGAATAATATGGTGGTGCGACTGGTCGGGCTGCCATGGTGTTCCATTGAAATGTAGGCCTTGGACTATCGATACGGAGCCGCGGAAGACTTAACGGGTTACCGGGGCTCCGGCTCGAAGTGCAGGAGTTGGAACGGGGTGGTTTTTAGTCAGTAAGAGTCTGACACTCCCTCTCTCCTCACACAGGCGGGAGAAGTCCCTCAAAAAAAAACCCTTTGACTAGTGGTCTCAAGGCACTACGCTAATTATATTGGTACCTTTGCTTGCCAGAAACTCTTCTGCTAAAACATTTTTGATCTCAATTAAGTAATTGATGCCTAGTTCTATCATTATCAGAGGCACCAAAAATGTTATTATAGAGAAAATCACCTCAGCTGTCCAAATTACTGAGTATCTTGTAGTCTGTAAAGTATAAAGTTAAAGTTAAGTGAGTGGATTACACTTACAAACCAAATGAAATACATATACATAAGTACTCAGAGTAGGTACTCACCACATTAGCGTAGTTTAAGTAAAACATAGCGAATGTAACTTTGAAAAATTCACATATGCAGCCCACAATCACCTGAAAACAGAAAGAAATTGGAAGAAATAGTATTACAAAATTAAATTAAATAAAAGCTTTAAAATTTGATATTTCTCGTATGACATTTTAACATCTATAAAAATTCAGTTTCATTCTAATTCTACAAACGGTTATTTACGCCTTCAATGAAAGCAGACTAGAAAATCTTTTAGAAAAAAATGATTACTTGAACCCTTAAATAGATGACCGTAGCATCCAAAATATCCGTCAACTTCCTCAAATCAAAGATAAAATCCTTAACATATTTTCGTTTAACATCAATGTTCGACGTCGATTGCATCTTATCCCTCAACGATTTCCAAATGACTTCCACCATTTTTTGATAATTTTCCGCTATGTAAACAGCTGTCAAACGGCTGAAGTAGCAAGAAGTCAGCTCATACATGTACAATACTTCATTAATTGTTATCGGACTCCAAAACGCAAATTTATTAATAGCCCTTATGGCTATCGCAATACAGACCATGAAGTTAGTCATACGACAATATAATCTTATTTGCAAACTAGGTGAAAAATATGTCACTATGTCTGAGGCAAACTTAATGACGAATTCTTCTTCGGTGATCAATGATATGACGGTGCCAACAGCCTTTTCCAAAACCACCAGCATGTCGTAGCTTAGGGAATAGTTATAGTTATTCCAAAAGTATAATCCGTAAGTTAATATACCACAACAGACGACACAGTAACATTTAAACAGGAGACACACAATTAGAGAATTACTGGATTGGAAGTAATATCCAAATAAATGTCGTAATACTAATATTCCTTGAAGTCCAGGAAAATTTTCATATTCTTTCAATTCTTTCATAGAAATCATTTTATTGAGAGATTTTTTTTTTCCTTTAGCAACCGAGTCTCTAATACGATGTTGTCGACTATACTGCCAGTGTCCAGTGGTGACGGCAGATTGAGAGATTTATTTTACTTAAGCGCGCCTTTACTTTTAAGTATCTAACTTCATTGAGAGACGGACGGATAATTCAATTTTTGACGTTCCAAAAGTGACTTTGACGTTTAAAAATTAACGATCTATTGAATTAAATGCTTTGATTTTGACTATAGAATGCACTTGAAATGATAGTGTGTCAGACAGATGTAGTTTTAAAATACTGGCGCATCACTCCAATAGCAGCTATTGATCGTGGATTGAAATAAATTCAATAGATTATCTACACGGTTTCATTACATAATGATACCTACTAATCAATGGATTCATTACTTTATGACAAAAATAAAATCGGTTATGCCATGGTGGCCAGTCTGTCTGTACTAAAATAATCCTGTACAATTCTACATGGTACTTATTCTGAGATATTGATTACCTGTCATGCATGTGTACGTGTGTAGTGCACTTTTTGTACCTTCATTATGTTCTTGGACCTCTTTAGTTACGTAAAGGGTGTTCCTACGTGTGTGTTCTTCTATTATAAAAGTGCCTATTAATTTCCAATAGCAATGTTCATATTTACAATACTGTTGCCCCACTGTATTTATTCGACACAATCCAACGTATTGCTATAAAAATCTCACAAGGGAATTAAAGATCAAGTACCGTGTAAACTACAATTTATCGTACAGATATTATTTTCCTACATTTATATAAAATTATCATTTTTAATATATCGTTACACACCATATACATAGGTATGTAATACATACTGCTGAACTAGGTATGTCCAGATACTATTTGGACATAGGTACCTACCTAGTTCAGCAGTTTTAGGTACAAAACCATTTCAATTTCTGTTTAAATTTTCTACAAAACTAATATATTCAAAAACGATGACTAAATCTTTTTTTACAGTTTAAATCGAGTGCAATATTATCTGTAACAAAACGTTCTTGACGTTTGATTTCATTATTGCTTTGCCTTCGCTTAATTTCATGTCAGGGGTCTAGTTGGTGCAATTATAATACTTAGGTAATTATTTTATGGTGTAATGTAACCGAGGGTTAATTATAAAGCATTGAATACAAATGCATATATAATATTAAAAAGCTATGGTACTCCTTTTTGTTCGGCAAGGAAGTAAATAAAATAATATATTCAATCCATATTTTGTGTTGGTAAGTACACCTCAGAGTAGGCCAAAATACAAATATATAAAGAAATAATAAAATCTTCCCTGAATGTGGCCTGAGCTCAGTGACAATATATACTTTTTTAGAATAAGAACGTTTATTTGCACGAAGTATGGTAATTACAGGTAGTAATATTAATTAATAAATTATAAAAAATAGTCCCACATACATCGCCTACTGTTTTCGGCATGCAAAGTTAAGTTTTACAATATAATAAAGTTAATTTCTTACATTCAATAAAACCAATTACAAAAATGCTTTCAACTAGGATAACATAATTATTTCTCCTAACATTATTATTATTACTTTTCTTCTTTATTCACATATTTATCATATTAGTGACTTACTAAATAACAACACACTTAATATTGCACACTTAGTATTGCACACATTAAACTTTCATTGTACTCATCTAAGGTGTAAAAGCAACTGTTTATTAGTAGTTTATTCAGTGTAATCTTAAATTTATTTAAAGGTAATTCTCTTATATGTTTAGGTATTTTGTTAAATATTTTAATTGATGTTATATATGAGTTTTTTTGGCATAGTGTGCTTCTACATCTTATTACGACGAAGACGATGTGAGTCGTGACACACGGATCAATGCAACGCTTCATTTTCCTATATTTAAAACTAAAGTAGCCATATGGGTACCTACTTTAGTTTTATTATTGTGCTATATAGCAATTAAGAGGTATTTACCCTTGTCCTATTTTGATAATATGAATCAGTAAGAAATAAATAAAGTAAGAAGATGAACGATTTACTTTTTTTTTTAATCTTTACCTATGTGTCCTCTCGCTTAACAAACACGATTATCTGCGCGTTATCTCCGACCTCCGTGTAATTAAACACACGACAATGTGCTTCATACAGTTTAGTTTACTAGTTTGTACCTAGCATACTGTTTGTGTTTAGTTGCATTACAATAATAAAAAAAACATAGCCTTTTTTGTGACCATCTAGGATTTATCAACAGACTTCACAAGCACAAACAAATAAAATTTAAAAAATTGCTGTCTATTGAACATTTTAAATCTGGAATGTGTATCTTTCCTTTTTACTGATAAAGAATTAAAAATTGTAATATGTAATTAAATCTTTACTATCTTCTTTTTTATATTGTAATTGTGATACTATATTACATTTTGTTTTAAATGTTTCTCGAATTAGCCACAAACATGTAAATAGTCCACTGCCTCTCTGTTTACGTCTGTCTCATAACATAATAAATACTTCGTGCCATAGAATAACGCGTAAACGTTACGCATACCTACTTACTATTTAAGTAATTACGTAGGTACCCATGAAAATGGCAAATGATCACGCTACCAAAATGTTTTGAAAATACCTACATACATTAATAATATTTTTATAAACCTTTAATTAACCTTCACAGTCCTAAAAGTAACTGGCTGGCTATCATGTCACATCGCTATACAAAAAGAGACCAAAAGAAAGAAATTAAATTAAATGTTCCATTTTCAAATGAGGCGCGAAAATGTACATAAAATTATTATCGATTTATTGTGACAGCCTTGTTTTTGCAACCAATGATTGAGTTTTTGTGTATATTATGTGAAATTGGTGTTTTTTATTTTGTGTTATTAAATTATTGAATGATGCTGTTCGTTAGATCTTTACGATACTGGTAAGATTTCTCGTACATATACTACCACCTGTAATTTATTATTACCTATAGTGTAACTTTTTGCGTTGATAATTATCGGTCGGTTTTATGCAATGTTGGAGAAAAATAATACAGCCAATACGGCCAGCACATTTAAAAAAATCACCAGTTCATAAAAATCACTTTTCTGTAGGATCTTCCTTAGCTTCTTTGCTATTATTTCGTGTATTTAATTTCCGACCGACGCATGGTAAGTGATTTTTTATACAATCAGTACTTAGGTACCTATTTAGGTACAATTTTAATTTTAGTGTTCAATAAAACTGATTGTTAATCCAAGCAAATAGATATGTATTTATTTATAGCGGTACATTGCAGAAAATATAAAGAAAATTAATATTATAAGATTACTACGTACTCATTAGAAAAAATGAGGTATATCGTCCAAAGTCAGATAGCCAGATAGATATAAAGCCAGACATGGGACCTTACTCTTGAAACCAATGTCAATGTCAATGCAATAAAATCTCAGTAATAATTCAATGTCAAAACTATACAACCCCTATCGTAGCTGAGTAGCATTCAAAGTACGGTATATATAAAGCCAAGTTCAATACCATTTAGTTGATTTAATATCCACGCAATACGGATGCAATGGGCGCTAGTGTTACTCATACTCACCAATGTCGATCGATCGGAATTGGATTCAAGAGTAAGCCCCTAGGACGATAGCGCAATAAGATATCGATATTTTAATTATTTCAATGGTAATCTTACTTATTCTTGTTTGTTTGTTTGTAACTTCTTCGCGTCAAAACGACTGAAAGATCGAGAAGAAATTTGGAACAGGTATAGATTGGTCAGGAATAATACAGCCACTTTTAGCCGCTGGCCGAAGCTAATATCTAAATATTACCTTTGCCAGCAATATTAGTTTGTGTTTTCAAATTGAAATTAATCATGGAACTATATGCCATACTTACCTTTTATAAAGTAGGAAATGTACAATCTGTTTTTTAAACTTTGACTTTTGAGTTTCCAGATTCCCCCCAATCATAAACTTTGTTCTATCCTATATTATTATTAGACATCAGTTTCCCACGAACTCTTCTCTCTCTTTCATATCCAATCTTTACACAATCTGTCTCTTTTCTTTAGTCATTCTCCGGCCTCTTCTCTTCTAGGTATTTTATCCTTCATTTGTTCTCTAAAAATTAATCTACAGATGTCGAATATTACATGGACTTTTTTCCCTTGCTTATCAATACTACCTTTGTACTTTAAACTGTCTATATAGTAATTAGGTGTATCTGCATATCACAAACTCATTGTGAAAAGTAGAATTTGGCTTCTGAAGTCTGTTCGATAGTCTAGACAGCTACTTACATACTTGCAACTACAGGATTAGTATCGACACAAAATTTTTTAAAGTCATTCAAAAATATATTGGTCTCTTAGAAATATAAATCACGAAAGTAATAGGTTGTAAAATGTTAATGAAAATTTGTTCCGTGTTGTAGATAATAGAAAATATTAGGTACACATAACATCACGCCTTTTTATCCCCGAAGGGGTAAGCAGAGGTGCACATTACGGCACTTAATACCACTGTACAATGTAACACCCACTTTTCATTATTTATGTTGTGAGTCCCCTGTAATAGGGAGTGAGCCTATTGCCATATACCGGGCACATTTCCAGACTCCGTGCTACTACTGAGGTTTTTTTAAAAACCCAGTAATTCTTTGCCCGACCCGGGAATCGGACCCGAGACCCCTTGTCCGGCAGTCGCACTTGCGACCACTCGGCCAACGAGGTAGTAGAGTAGTAGTATTAGGTAGACTATAATATTTTGTTTTGTGGGAAACAAAATACGGCTATTATCCAGCCATATTTTCTTATTGAAGTGCTAAATTAATTAAAGTGTATTGCTTCCGTAATCTGTCACATCTGTTAATGTAAAATGATCCTTAAATCAATTCAAATTGATTGCATACAAAAATATAAATATGTGTGCAATGTTTTTAATAATTCTATCTACCAGATGGACATTAAAAAACATACCAATTATCATCCATTTTCTTAAGAATAGTCGCACCGTATAGTCGCACGTGTCTGTCGCACACGTATAACAGTCTGAAAGCTAATCTAACATAGGTACGTTGAACCTTATCAGTCGTTATCAAAAACAGTATTATATACTTTAATCACAATTTTTATTTAGTAGCAACAGAGAGCACGGACCGGCAACATGTAAGTGTTGAAAATTCTTATTTATTGGCTTCTAAATGATAAGATATTTTACTTTGAACTTTTTATCTGTAATTATTATCGTGGTGTACTTGCGTTCATTGTCTGATGTAGTGAAATTGTCCAGTTTAGAGACGGTTGAGTCCCTTTTTGTTGATTATATTTTTTTGGTAAATCATTTGATCATACTTTCTTCGTTGCCAAATTACCGGCACGATTGATTTGTTTGACCTAAGATTTATTACATCAAACTAAGCACAGAGGTAAATCATGTTAATAAAGCTTTCATTTCGATTTATTTTGCTCTATGCGCTGGGGAAAACTGTATGAATATGTGTCCAATAGTTTCAGAGATTATTGCTCTCAAACATTCCTTAAAGTATTGTTTTTAGGCATAGATTATACACAATCACAGTTTGGTTCATAGTACTTAATCTTAATATTTGTGTCTTGAGCAACCTTGAGGATGAAAAATCATTGTTATTTTTATAAAATATTAATTTATTATTTTATTTCATATTAAGCGAACCAACAACTAAAAATTTGCATTTTCAAGCGACCTATCTATCTTTAGGTTTTCATTCTCAGGTGGCTAGTGATTAGTTATTTAAACATATACAACATACATATACATATATAAACTCGCAAGACTACGTACAACTCCATACATACATAGGTCTAGGTGCTTTTTCGGTACAGGCAAGCACCTATAACAACATAGGTTAGTTTTTGTTTCAAAACTTCTCCAATATTCTCGAAGTTCGGGTAAGGTGGCTCCTGGGTACAACATTTTTGTCCCTTTAAACATTTTCTTTCTTTTGTAAGCCTTGAATCAATAAAATTATCTTACCAAAGTCCTTAAAGAAGCTACCTACCAACATCATCGTCTTTAATAATTTTGTCTTATGAACCTATGACTCACAACAAACATGACAACGGATCTTATCACAGATTTGTAGACTTTTACCCTTTGACTTGAGTAAATATACGAACAATTATTTTGTAACAATTCATTATCAATATAAGCATAAGTAAGGGCGTTATCAGCTATGCTCCGAAATAAGATAACAATTTTACTAATGGAAAGCTACTATGCACCCATTAAAGGACTTCGGTATTAGATGTTTTCAGACATCATACACCACATAATAAGCTGTTGTAATTTTGGAAGGTCATAACTACTACCTAAATAATGCTTATGCTTGCTTTATAGGCATTGCGGCTTATCCTTCACCTACTTTAATAAATCATTTAACCATTATCTTAATTCGTTAATTCATTCGTGTCTAGCTAATCAAATTCATATATGTATAAATAAAAAATGGTAATAATTACAAATATTTCGCAGCTATTTTCGAAATGGCCTTTATATATTTATGAAGCCAAAATGTTAATAAAAATATCTAGCGTTGTGGATTGAAATCTTTGTTCAGAAATCAAGTTCTGGTTAATATTATGATGACGATGATAACTTACAAAATAATAATAAAAGCAAATTATAAACGGACATTGAAACACGTGAATTAAATAAATAAACCTTTACTACAATAATATAAAAAATGATGATGGTTTGATGGCATTGTCTAACCGTGTTTATCTTTCTAACATCGACACTAAAATCGTACAATAGAACTACTGATAATAATCGTAATCATACATAATTTAAACTATTTTATTATCTTTATGTAAAAAATATTATTAAGATTTATTAGCATAAATGACCGGGACTCGCAAAACTTGTTACGACTAATTTAGTTTTTTTTAATTATTGTATATCAAGGTTGTTCTTACGTCATAACCCGGCGTTATGGGACAAGTATACAAGTAAGGCTTTGTACACACTGTGGTAGTAGTACAGTTTTAAAACTTGTATTTTAAAAATAACTGTTAAGCCTCACGAATCTAATTTCTTCTATTTTAGAGTTTACTTCTACTAAAAATACATACAAGGTACAACAGATTATATTTATACTCCTAATACTTCTAACACAATCATCCTTTCAGAAATCTCAACGTTTACGTATACCTATGTATAAAGATTTTTTATTTAATATATTTACACAAATATTCGTAGGCTATTGTAGCTTTCTGGTAAAGTTTATTATTATTAAATCCTTTTGACGTATTCAGGTTATCTATTAATTAGATAAAACAAATCTGTGACAAAATACCTTTTTTTTTAATCAGCGCTGAGATACACCATATTCACAAAATATGACGAATACCAAATCATACTGATTTATATACCTACACCTAGTTATTTAATTATTATTATCTTCTGTCACATTTTGTTATAAAGTACTAGGTAATTGTTAAGAAAAATCGTCGTGACAGGATGAGAACAAGAGTTAAACAATCATTTTGAAACTTTACGAATTAATTCACACAATTGTGTATCATATTATTTATATTAACTTCATATAATTTGTTGCAAACGTTATTGTACTGATTGTTTTCATTTTTACTTAATCTGAACCAACGTATGTGTTTAAATTATTACCATTCAAACAGTTTAAACGCACCTTTATTCACATTTAAAAAATCGAATTCAAAAATTCTGTATTCTTTTTGAGATCTCGTTGGGACTGGCCGTGTGCTATTTTTAAATCGATTCGATATTTAAATAATATCCATAGTGAATATATATTTTTTTAATTTCGTTCTGAAGTGTGTCTTAAAAGAAAATGAAAATTTTCAGGGCTGAAGAACCACAAGTTATTTACGTGATAAGAATTATTTTTGAAATAATATGGATGATTTTACGACTGAACTTGGAAATCATCAAAGCTCTATTCAGAGTTGTGGTGCCACAGGACCGTAAAGATGTCACAGGAGATATTGTATTGGTAAGTCATTTTGAATATCATATTTACATAGGTACATCGTATCGAAATTTAATAGGTGTGACCCTTCATCAAACAAATAAAATTACCAAACTAAACAATGTCTGAATATTAATCTCAATTATTTTCTTTATAATAATATCCATTTTCTTCAGATTAAAAATCAGACTAATAACTTTAAAAACAATTTTAACTTTATAACGTTAAAAATGATTCATATATTTTTGATATTGCGTTATTTTTTACATTTCATTATAATATACATCATTTTTACGGCACCTTAGACAAATCATGGTACATTGCAAACTAAAAATCACAAAATAGGTCTAATGGCTTGGTCTAATTATCATATCAGTGGTCTAATGTGACATAATATTATTAGTCTCTGTTACCTACATATGTTTGGTAATAATTTATGAAGATACACTATTGTATAGGTACTGTTTTAATAAGAAATTACTGAGCGACATGTTTTAACAACTGAACAATATAATACATACATAATAATTATGTAGGTACTGTGTATTAGTAATTACATTGTACATTGGCCATCACGCTTTGATCTGTGATCTGTTATAATCTAGTTCTAGATATTTAATTATTTCGATTATGAAATGTTATTAGTCCAGATAAACAATTGATACTGAAATTAATCTGCGATTATTCTCCATTTGCGTAATGAAATTGTAATTACCTCTAAATAACAAAATTTCTCGGTCACTAGATTAACTTATGAATCTAATGTACACAATTTATGTGATGCAAATTAATGAGCCATGATAAAAAACTAGAAAGCTTCAAATCTGGTCGACTGCTGATTAAATCCATATCCAATCGGGTAGTTTCCAGGGTATCAAAATTAAAAATCTAATTAGTCCGTCAGTTAGATAATGAAAGAATAGACATGTAGATACAGAATTAGACACGTATTTTTTATTTTGTCGTATTAAGTTGCAATACTTAGATAAAATGGCGCTAAGTTTAGGAGTGGGAGGTCGTTACGTCATAACGTGCTACAAAATGTGACACGCTGTGACGTCACACGATATTTCAAATTAATATATCGTTGAAAGTATTTAATTTTGTGAGAAATGAAAAAATAAGTGTCTAAAGTTTTAAATTAATGTACCAGACGCACATTAAAATAAAATTTAGGAAACTATCATATTATTATGGATTCTTAATCAAAAAACATCCATGTCCAGTCCATTATCCAGTTTACTGCTTATCTATATGCAAAATACCCTTCACTATAGTTTTAGTGCAACAAACTTATTTGCAACCTTGAACACGTTGAGCAAAATAAAACTTGCTAACATTGGTGTATTCACGAATATTATTGATCTAGTTGCAGTCAATAATTCCATACTTAATATCTGTTATTCAACAAAGGGGTAGATAAAACAGTTTTACCTATCTCTATTTAGGCGTACCTACTCGCTATTTTTATTACTTCGTATATCAGTATTATTGTTGTTGAGGGCGAGTCTATTGCATAACTAATATACTGGTGCCACCTGAAAATTTTGAAATGTACTTACCTCAAATTGCTAGAATATTTAGGCAGAACAAATAATTTCATGAACTTGACATTGACAATACGATCTCTTTTAGTATAGGTACCTACTTATTAATTTACCTATAGTTTTTTTTGCTCACAAATATACATACAAAAGATTAAAAGCAACTGCAGGTACAAAAACTGTTGCAACGCTCCGATGCATTATTATTATTATTATATTTTATTTTTAAACACCTTCAAATAAGGAAGAATATTATTTTTTAAATAGTTTTGTATTGAAATTGTTTTGTCCTTCTTTTCAATATAATTATTTAGTAAATACTTAGTTGTAGGTACTTATTGAATATATTCTGTCTCATCGTAATAACAATACCCGTTTTCACTAACCTTTATATTGATTAAATTCCTTTAACCCGTGGCATGCTAGATCTACGCGAGACACAATTTGTTTTCTATTGTATTTTATATACGCCACTCTAGAGCTTAAGTGACGCCTAACCTAATACTTAGTACTAGTAAGGAGTTAGTTTACTCTTAGTTAAGATATGGTTTAGGGGTAATGGTTTAGGGGGGTGAAGTGAAGTTAAAGCAGATTTTGTATGTAATCTATAGCGGAACATACCTACTATGTAAATAAATTTATTGAAATATAGAACATAATCACGTAAACTTTTCCAAAAAAGCTTAACTAGTTTTATTCAAGTCACACCGGTAATGACCGGTACTGGATATTCATGAGCAACAGCGTCCGCCTTAGTTGAACTTGTAGAACTTTTCTAGAAAAAAAACTGCGTGCGCACGACATAATATTATAATAATTAATTAAGAACTGATTTTTCCAACAGGTAATTATATCGGAGGAATAGTTTTTAAATTAGGTATTGACAATTCTCCCACGTAAAAGAATGTCAGACGTTAATATGAATCTACAAGTAAAAAATATCTGTTATTTAAAGATTAATCCTTTAATTGTTTAATTAAATGCGGTTTTAAATACAAGTTATCTTTTGTATATAAAATAGGTGGAAATTATATGTGCGAATATTCTTTTATATGTATTTGATTTCCCATGTTAAATATACCTATTGTTTGTTACATTACCAATGTATCCCGAAATAAATTAAATATTAGAGTAAACCTTAAATGGAGCAATAGATCTACCATAAACGTCTTTGCTAACATACATTTTCTATAATCTACCTGAAACAATAAACACTCATTACAATGTCATCTGTGTAATAATATTATACAGACCTGACTACTTCTTACTTTACTGTTACAACAACTAAGTACTTAAGTAACTGAAATGTATAGTTCTAAACTTAGTAAATTGTCTCGAATCAAAGGTTATCTTAAAACATAAACTGGTAAACTCACTCGTGTCTATGTCGCTCGCTATCGAGTAGGTATTCATAAATGCCAGTTACCAAACTTGAAGTCACGGATTCAGTACTTTAGTTGTATTGTCTGCGATTTAGTTCATTACAAGAATAGGGACAGGGTATGAAGAGTAAAAACCTAATTAGGTAGTCCGTCAGTTAGATAATGAAAAAGCGTTAGACACGTATTTTTTATTTTGTCCTATAGAAAACAATACTTAGATAAAACGAATCAAAGTTTAGGATTGGGAGGTAACTACGTCATTTTAGAGTATTTAAAAATCGTACTCAAAACCGACGTCATGCAATATTTCAAATCAATATATTTTCGAAACTGTTCGTTTTCGTAAGAAAAGAAAAAATATGTGTGTATTGTTTCTGAAAAAATCTACCTGACGGAAATTAAAATAAAAATTAGTCATCTACCTTATTATCATTTAGGTACGGATTCCATTTTATGAAATTCTAATTTTAAATGCTCGGTCATCTCGGACTCATCCCTAATAAAAAAAGACAAATGCAGATTTATATTAGTATTACGAAAAAAAAACGGCGGTACCTACTAAATCTCTGACGCTAATAACAAGTCAGGGAGTCGCCATATTAATTCGTATTTACCTCACTCAGGTTCAGATTACTGTTGTCCTATCTTATCACCAGCTCATACGGACTTTGAGTCCACTTTACGAACAACAATTATTTCATAAAATGTAGTAATAATTCATTATTTTTAGTTTTTGCATAGTCAGCATGTATTTCAAGATAAACAAAAGAATAAATGACATGAACATTGTTAATCTTTTTTGGACTTTGTCTGGACTACTTTTTTAAAAAATGAACTCCTTTTACATTGACAGGATTATTAATAATGTACAAAAACATATTTATTTTTCATAGATGCCTATTTGTCTTATGTTTAATAAAAACCACGATTGTGTTTGAATAAAAACTTTTAATTTATGTATAAATTTAGGTTCTATAAAGATAAATTACACATAGGTACGTACATACATACATAGAACAGGTTTTTATTTACTTAATTTTTAATCCTATTTCGTAATTTTATATTCTAGTACTTTGTATAAATTAGTATCTAATCTGTAGATTTTATATTGTTTAGTCTTGTAGACGTCAAGGAATTGCATTTTGAAAAAAAAGTAATATTTGAATTATGTTTATTTCTAGATCATTGGCAATCAGAGTTAGGCTTACAGCACCAAATTCAATCCAAAACTTTAGATTGTGATCGATTTTTGACATTAGTTCTATAGTTAGAAAATCTGTTAACACCTAAAATATTATCGCGGAGAACCTAATGGGTTACTGGGGCTCCGGCTCGACGTGTAGGAGAAGGAACGGGGTGGTTTTTAGTTAGTAAGAGTCTGACACTCCCTCCTGCATCACCCAGGCGGGTGATGATTTTCCCCCCTTAAAAAAAATCCCCAACCACAGCACCTAATTTCCATACATGCTCTTTCTAAATACATAAAGCAGAGAAAAAAGAAAAAACATTTATTAAGCATCTATATTATTTATTTATTTTTATACTAGATGTACTGATTGTACTGAATGCAATCTTCTTTCTCCAGGTGACTGGTGCTGGTCATGGAATGGGCCGCGAGATCGCCACCAGATTCGGCAAACTTGGTGCCAAGGTGGTCTGCGTGGACATCAACTCCAAAGGCAATGAGGAGACCATCTCCTTGATCAAGAAGAACAAGGGAGAAGCTTATGCTTACATGTAAGTATTTTTTTAATGGTATGTGATGTGTGATGATGAATGATGATAAGCAATCAACGCCGCATATGGACGATAGCAACAGCAGAAGATTTGAATAAAAGGGAAGGTAATAAAGCTATTTTCACAACTTTTAAACCTTTCCTGGACTTCCACAAATAATTCAAGATAAAATTATCCTAATCGGTTAAGCCGTTCTCAAGTTTTAGCGAGACTAACGAAAAGCAATTGATTTTTATATAGGTATAGAGATTCTGCAGTTCTTGGTTGGTACAAGATCTACAAAACGGTTTATAAGAAAACTATAAATAGTTTAAAAGTAAACAAAGTACCTGCTTAGTACCAAAGATGGTTATTTTAAGGCATGATTTAAAAAACAACCTTGTTTTAGTATTACTTACAGAGTCATGTGTAAAAAAACAAACAGATACTTAACAACAATAAAGACAAATATTAATTGCGAAATCCATAATAATAAATGACTATTCGCCAATAAATCTTATTTTTTATTCTATTTTTTACCGAATTTATATTCTTAAGATGATCATAAACTAAGATAATTAATAACCTTATTCGAAGTCGACAATATCTGATCTGACAAGCTTTTTTTATATTTACCTTTTATAAAATAGAGGTAAATAAACATTCGGAATTGTAGGTATCAAGTACGACTATAATTCTAAACTGTATGCAAAAACTGATGATTTTAAAAGTAGTTTCTAAGCAAAATCTAAAACTCATTTGATTTTTACTGGGTAATTGGATATTTCTTTTTATTTATTTAAGGTCAACCAACGACTTTTTACACATCATATTACAACAAATCGGTTTACAATATGCATTTGTTAGTGTAACAATCAAAAGGAAAACACATCATACACAAGAGAATAGTTGTTAGCCTAAGTTTAAATTATTAAACACAAATATAAATCTATTTAAGGTGAAATCACAATGGGAACAAACAGAAAAATACTTAATATTATGACAACAAAGATTGATCAATTAAAAAAACAACAAAAGAAAAATATTTAGCATCTCATGATTTAAAACAACATTATATGTATTATTAGAATAGACAAATAAAGATTAAATTTCATTAAATTGCCATAGGTATTTATTAAATTACTAAATTGTAATAACCTAATTCCTTCTACTGTGACCTCCCCTCTGCTGAGATAAACTTTGAATGCAGATCTGTGAAACGTACCTTAACATTTTATTTGCTCCTCTATTACAGATGTGACGTCACAGACAGAGCTGCTGTTATGCAGCTGGCTGAAAAAGTAGAAAAGGATGTTGGACAAGTTGACATCCTTGTGAACAATGCTGGCATTATGCCCTGCAAGCCTGTGCTCAAGCAAACTGAGAAGGAAATCAGAGCCACTATGGAAATTAACGTCAATGGAAACTTATGGGTAAGTGACATTTGTAGTTTGAACCTTATGACTTTGCTATTGTAGAATAATTTAGTGTAAAAACCATTAATCTAGGCATCTCATTTGAAGATAGGTTCTTGAATTTTGAGTTCTATTTTTATATTGAAACTTATATTTTTATTCATTGTAAACTTCTATTTATCACTTAACGGATAGGTATTACCGATCAACTGTCTACTATTAATCTAACGAGATTTGTTTATAAAATTATACATCGACATAATAGTCCGATAATTAAGTAGGAAATATGGGGGATACCTGGAATGTTTTCCAGGAGTTTGGAAAATTGGTAATTTTGCAGATATTGATGTGATCTTTTCGATTTCCATTTTACATCTTTGCACGTGCGCCGCTTGCGCCGCCATCTTGGAAAAATGGCGACCATAAAAGTTTTTTACAATATCTCTTTCCCTCAATATTTTACGAAAAAACCCGTTATTTACCCCAATATTTTACAAAATTAAACTACTCACAATTTTCTACAATTTATAACTAGATATCTTTTTGTAATACGAGTAGTTTTGGCGCCAAAGCAACGCAAATTACAATTATATAAGCATTTTGGGAAAAAGATCAATAATCCAATTACTAAACTACGTTGCCAAAAAAGTTGATAAATTTAGTAACTTGTTTATAGTGAAGTGTGGTTCAGCAGTTATCCAACTAAACAAGCCAAACAGAACGCAATATTGTTGGCAATCAAGTTTTTCAAGTTCAACCAGTAGTCGGACAAGTTCTTGCAAACTATTCCGATTGTTGGTAAACTTAGCTGACAGGTCTATTTGTTCTTGTAGTGGCGATTTGCTCTCTATGTCCGACTCGTTTTGGGGTCCGGACCGAATCTTAACTAAATCCAAGTCTGTCTTGTTGCTATAATAATAATTTTGCCTTTTATTCAGATCTTAAATGTTTACAATAAATTTACATCTAAAACTAACTATTCTTGCACTGAAACTACTTAAACTAATATCTGTTCCTTGGTTACCATTTAAGATCTGTTTGCCAGTCGCTAAAGGCCTCCTCCAATCTTTTCCATTCTGTTCTTCCTAGAGCCACTCGGTTCCACATTAGTCCTGCCACTTGTCTTATATCATCATCCCATCTTTTCTGTGGTCTGCCTCTCTTCCTTTGGCCTTCTCTTGGGTACCACTGTGTCACTCTTTTTCTCCATTTGTCATTGTTAAAATGTAATAGAACTAAGTAACAAAATATATATATCAGCGCCATCTATGAGAATGTTTGTGTCAACATGAAGTGTTTGGTTGTACCTGTAATTGCCTATATAAAAAGTGAAATAAAAAGTGGGTTTTAGTCTGTTGCAAGAATTCATACGAGTTTCATTTTATAATAGGTTATGGGCCCAGACTCAAAATTATAGACCTTCAGTGTGTTTTAACAGTATCAGTAGTGCTAAAAATGTCTGTCTCGAACTATGCAGTGAATGTCCCAAAACTAAAAGGACGTGAAAATTATGATGAGTGGGCGTTTGCAGTAGAAAATTATATGATTTTGGAAGGCATAGACGTAACCGGCACAACGGAGCTATCGGATTCAGAAAACAAGAAGGCAAGAGCAAAAATGATCATGACCATCGATCCATCGTTATTTGTACACATCAAGACCGAAGCCACAGTGCAAGCTTTATGGCTCAAACTAAAAACCTTGTTTGATGACTCGGGTTATACGCGCAAGATTACACTCCTTAGAAGCTTAATATCGATACGTTTGGAGAGTTGCGATAGTATGACCAGCTATGTTAATCAGCTCGTGGAAACGGCGCATAGATTAAAGGGAACGGGATTCGAAATAAATGACGAATGGATCGGATCGCTATTGCTGGCAGGCCTCCCTGAAAGATTTAGCCCTATGATCATGGCTATCGAACACTCAGGAATGAAGATGAGCGCTGATGCTATCAAAACGAAGTTGCTAGATATGAGTTCGGAATTTGAGGGTAAGTCTGAAGGCGCGCTTATTGCACATGCACAGAAACGCTATTTACAGGCGCGTGCACAAACTAGTAGCGGAAATGGAACGCTCACGTCATCTGTCAATGATGACAAGTCAAACAAAAACAGAAAACAAATTCGCTGCTACCATTGCAAAAAGATTGGCCATTTTAAAAGCCAGTGCCGCCTATTAAATAAAGACAAACATAAATCAATTCCAAATGTGTTGAGTGCAGTGTTTCTTACACGAGAGTTCGACGAAAACGACTGGTATGTCGACTCTGGCGCGAGTACCCACATGGTGTCTAACAAAAACACGTTGACCAACATATCTTACGAACCGAAAGTCAAAGAGATCATTATTGCCGATCGAACAAAAGTACCAGTGTTGTGTTCTGGTGATCTTCGACTGATTACGCGAGTGAAAACATTCACACATGAAGTAAAAATTAACAATGTTTTGTGCATACCAACACTTACGACGAATTTGCTTTCTGTGAGCAGAATGATTGCAAATGGTAACAGAGTATCCTTCAATAAAAATGGATGTTACATTTACAATGCTCACAATATTTGCATTAGTGAAGCAAACTTGGAGAACGATGTGTACAGATTAAACATTGAAAAGTCGAACCAGCTCATGGCGGCAGTAGCACATACTTCATGCAGAACATGGCACAGAAGATTAGGTCATATTAATATGAAAGACCTAGAGAAAATGAAGGAAGGAGCAGTTCAAGGTGTCACTTACCAGGAAAAAGATGACATAAGCAAATTAACTTGTGTGGTATGCTGCGAAGGAAAGCAAACTCGACTACCTTTCTCTGCCAGTACGAGCAAGAGCAACCGAGTCCTAGAAGTGGTTCATACAGACCTATGTGGCCCTATGGAGAAGAAATCACTTGGTTTAGCTAGATATTACCTGTTATTTGTAGATGACTACAGCAGGATGTGCACATAAACATTATAAATTTTTAGAGATAATGGGAATTGGAGAAGTACATTAACATACTTTCTGTAAAATTTCATTACTATTTTGATTGAGTATGTAATTTTGATGTAGTAGGTATTTTGTTAAGAGAGGGTGTTAAAATGTAATAGAACTAAGTACTATATATCAGCGCCATCTATGAGAATGTTTGTGTCAACATGAAGTGTTTGGTTGTACCTGTAATTGCCTATATAAAAAGTGAAATAAAAAGTGGGTTTTAGTCTGTTGCAAGAATTCATACGAGTTTCATTTTATAATAGTCATTACCTCGTATCTTTTGTTTGTGTTTATATTAAAACTTTCGTGAGAAATACTAAATTAATTATTATGTTTTCGGCTTACTCACGTAACTGTTTGACGAGTAATCCGATTTGTATAAGAATAAATTATTCTAGCACAGCTTGAAACTAGTCGAATTCCTCGTCAAACGTTACGTGTATAAGCAGAAACCATAATAATTAATTCAGGATATTGTGTCCCTAAATGTCAATGATTCGAAAACGGTATATAAGAATAAAATATACTTAAATATATGATCAACAACAACAGCTCGTGCCGATCCGTTAACTACATGGGCCGTTAACAATGCCCCACACTAGGATTTTCTCCTGTGTCGTGGGTGCGTTTACAAAGTCAAAGTCAAAGTCAAAATCATTTATTTCAATTAGACCAGGATGGCACTTTTGAACGTCAAACAACAAAAATTTAGAAGTGAAGCTAGTTACAAACATACAATTTCACGTATACATGACACCCAGACCCGGAAGAACAATCTATGGATCACACAAAGAGTTCCGTGTGGGAATCGAACCCGCGAGATGTTGCGCGGCAGCAAGGTCCCCAGCCACCGCGCCGACTATGCAGTCAAGTCAATATTTCCGTGTCAAACTGCAGATAGCTACTACCAGAAGTTCAAGTTCATTATAATTATAACTGAACCTTTAAAAATGTAGTTGCAACAAAGATAAAATCCAATAAAAATATATGGCCCAAGTATAGTGCCCTGGTTGCAGGTACCTATATAATATGATTTCCAAGTACTTAAATGTTAAACAGTGAAGGTTTAAACAAAAGAACCTTAATCTACTTTGACAGTATGAACTTAACCTTTATGAATGCAAAATTGGTACTTAACTCGGTCATGCTCGATTTTAATTATCAAAATGGTATTTATAAATAAAATTACACTGAAATTTATTTATAAAACATAATTTTATATGAAATTTTCCTCAAAGAGACTTTATGATTATACTAGCGACCCGCCCCGGCTTCGCACGAGTGCAATAGGCATGTATTACACATATAAACCTTCCTTAAAAATCACTTTATTTATTAAAACCAACCGCATCAAAATACGTTGCGTAGTTTTAAAAATCTAAGCATACATAGGGACAGACAGACGGCGGATAGCGACTTAGTTTTATAATCTGTAGTGATTGGTTTCAATTTGTAGATACTACCTATAGCATTTGTATAGCTAGTCATACCCCCGGGTACACGGTCTAAAGACATGGCCTCTTTTTCAGATGATCCAAGCTTTCCTACCCGCCATGTTGGACCGTAACTCCGGCCACATCGTCGCTATGTCCTCTATGGCCGGCAAAATGGGTCTCCGTAATCTCGTGCCCTACTGTGGCAGTAAATACGCCGTCAGAGGCATCATGGAATCACTCGCCGTGGAGCTTCATGAGGACCCTAGAAATACAAATGGGGTAAGTTTTCTACGTTGTAAAATTATGTAACTAATTACTTAACCGGCTTCTATGATGGTTTCGGGTGGTGGTTTAAATTTAATTTATAATAAGTAGTAACTATTAATATCTTAGACGGGATCGGTAAGTCAAGTTTTGACAGTTCACCTGAAATATAGTTTACCTGCAGCTGTAGCCAAATGCCATTTAGCGCTTGTCTACATGTAGAATAGAAAACCAAATTATATGGAATTGACGTAAATTTTGACACTTGTCAGTGTCATCCCCATACATTTTGATTTCTACACTCTCTGTAGACAAGCGCTAAAGTGGCGTTTGGCTAAAGGTTAACAATCGCAAGGGAACTTCTCTTTGGTTGAAAATTCGGTATCTCAAATGCTATGAGAATGCGTTATCAAATATAATAATTTGACATACATAATAAAAACTTATTTTCAGATGTCCGTTGCACTTCTTCACAAACCATACAATTATTATCTCCAACTCATTTCATTTTCCCTTTCCAGATCAAATTCACAACAATTTGCCCATACATTGTGAACACGGGTCTTTGCCACAATCCTCGCATTCGTTTCGAGGCTGTCATGAAGACCGTGGACCCAGGAGACGCAGCAGACCAGATTGTAGACGCCGTTCTTAGAGAATACCATGAGATTACCATTCCTAGTGACATGTACTACTCAAATAAGGTAAGGGAATGTAATTATAAGTTACAAGTCATCTACAGGTATGTACCGCCACCGTAAGCGCGGGCCTGCGGACGGCGAGCATGGGTGGCTCCCCGTCCGACCAGAAACAGACCCGAGCGTACGGCGCCGAGCGTTCCACGCGCGCCTCAAAGAACCATCAGACCAATACAGATGGGGCCCAATAGGGCTGATGCCGATTCAGAGTCGCGGAGAACCTAACGGATAACCGGGGCTCCGGCTCGACGTGCAGGAGAAGGAACAGGGTGGTTTTTAGTCAGTAAGAGTCTGACACTCCCTCCCGCCTCACCCAGACGGCAGCAGTCATTCGATGATTTTCCCCCCTTAAAAAAAAGACCTCTCTAGTGACACGTCAAGTTTAGTTAATTCAATTTTCATTACTACGCATCCAACTGTGAGATGTTTGGTAGCATTTTTATTTTTCATACACAAATAGACTGAGTATAAAGATATCTGGTATTATATTTATAAATAAAATAACATGAACTACATTTTCTTAATAGACCGTATTTAATTGCCATAGCTAAGTGATTTTAGTTTTAATTTGTTGTCAATACACCAATAAAGAGACCTCAGAGTTATTTTGTAGTAAATTAGTTGTATTATCACCTCCCGAGAGGAATACGTCGAGTTACAAGTCACCCTGTATACTTTGGTCTACAAGTCTAGACTATTATAACATTTTAATAGGATGTTAATCTAGAAAAATGCATGAAGGTCAAACTGTATAAAGTTCGCATATATTTTGTATTATTTATGAGGGCATGTCATAATTATTATCTTTTTTATACCAGACAGCAAATGTCAAGTACTAAAAAACACTTTGAGTGCTTTTTTTCTTATTTATTACTAGGTATTTTGATTCGGCACCGGAGTATGTGTAAATCAATAAAATTTATCAATGAATATACATTAGCTGTTTTTGTGTTTAAAGTTTACAATTTGGTCAACAAATATTAAAAAAATAATACAATTGGCTCTGCTGAAACAATTTCTCGAACTATCTCTTATTCTTAACTAGCGACCCACCCCGACTTTGCACAGGTGCCATATGCATGTATTATACATATAAACCTTGCTTAAGAATCACTCTATCTATTAAAAAAAAACCGCATCAAAATCCGTTGCGTAGTTTTAAAGATCTAAGCATAGGTACATAGGGACAAACAGACGGTGGACATTAACTTTGTTTTATAATATGTATAGTGACTGTTTGACGTTATTTTGGCGTATAACTTATTCGGAAAATGTGTTAAAACATAATATTACACAATTTTGGTCTTAACCCGTCGTGTGTCTAAACGTGGATTCAAGCGAGACACAATATATTTTCTATTTCTTTCTTATTTTTCTTTTTTAAAGCTATCTCAGATCTTCCAAATCAAATCAGTCATAAGACATCCACTGCTGAAGACAGGCGCCTGTCACAAGGCCTTTTTTAATGAGGGAAAATCATCCAATGACTTCTCATGCCTGTGTGAATGAAGCGAGACGCAAGGGGAGTCTCAGGCCCTCACTGACTAAAACCCATCCCATTCCTACTCCCGACAACTCGTTAAGTCTTTCGCATCTATATCAGTATCAGCCCTATTGGGCCCCATCTGTGGTGGTCTGATAGCTCTTTGCCTTTAGCCAAACGCCACTTTAGCGCTTGTCTACAGAGAGAGTAGAAATCAAAATATATGGGGATGATACTGACAAGTGTCAAAATTTACGTCAATTCAAATATAATTTGGTTTTCTATTCTACATGTAGACAAGCGCTAAATGGCATTTGGCTACAGCTGCTGGACACCTACTTTCTTGTTCAACTCATAACATTGAAATTTATCCAATTGCCTCAATAATTCATTTATTAGGGTCTTCTATTTTTTTTATTTAACACATCTAGTTATATTATATTTTTATTCCATTCTAACTTGTCTTTATCTTTACTTTTTCAGGTCTTCAACCTATTCCCACCATCGGCTGGCAGGGTTCTGACTGACTTCATCGGCACTGGTCTGGACCCCCACGAATGATTGAATTAAGAGATATTGTAAATAAAAACATTAATACATGACATTACTAATTTTGTACATAAATGAAAGAAAATGTTGGTTTCATAGAAAATGTAATTTAATACATCGTTCCTCATATAGTTGTTAATCAGAATTAAAATGGATTTTTGTCTATAAAGATCAATAAATTTTTTAAGTTGTATTTTTATTTTTCCTTTTTATCTCTTTCTGTCGTTTTTTCAAGTGAATTTTCTTTTTAGTACATAGTTGTTTGTATTACTAGCTTTCCTATATTTGTTTAAAGAATTTCTTACTTTTCTTTTTACATTTATGTTGTTACTTGTAGTTTGTTAAATATTTAACTATACGTTTCTATATCCTTGTGATGGAAAAAGTTTATTAACTTGAAAATGTATATAGTAAATCAACTAACAAAATAGAACTATTCCACATCCTTTACAAAATATGACTATAATAGGTAGTAACTATACTTGTTGTTATTTGTCTGTCTATGTACAAATAATTATTAAGGTAGGTACGTATATATTAACAAAAGGAATCTTATTACTACTCTACAAACATTATCTACGTCTTATTAGTTAAAGTTTTGAGGAATGTAGTCGTGTGTCTCTTCGTGGGCAGACATTGTCCAAATGCTTCTAGAAGAAGAGGCTCCTGCTCTACCGCTTCTCTGAAAAACAAATACATTTTGTGTAGGAGTGATACCACGGCCTCTCAAAAACCCACATAAAACAACGCTTGCATTATATTTCGTTATGTGCGGTTACCGTTACTTACCCCCTTCTCCAATCTCCCCAATCCCCGAATCCCGAACAATCCTCAAAATCCCGGTAGCGCATTTGTACCATCTCTGATGTTTCAGGTTTCCTTGGGAGGCGCTGATTGCTTACCATCAGGTGATCCGTTTGCTTGTTTACAGGTTTATTCCATAAAAATATATTTATATTCAACCAGCTAGTATTATGGTAACAAAATTGATACCTAGTTGTAACCTTTATGATTGATTGCTTTATGACTAAAATTTGAAATGCCGACTCGTATACATGTCTCCTTTTACCTAAACATTAGCTAAAACTATTGTTGTTATTTTAGTTTTTTTACTTATGTCATTTTGTTTCTAAAACTTGTCATTTAAATGACAAGTTTAATCAATTAGTGTTTAAGGAATCTAAATCAAATACTTTGTATTCCTCATGGTACTGACCTGTAATCATCCAAAGAAACCGTTCCATCTTTATCTACGTCTAGTTTCTTGAGTACCAGTTCCACTAGCTCTCGTACTCCTTCATCAGGGTCCTCATCACCCGGCTGTTTCAATAGTGAGTTCCTGGAAATCACATTAAGTAGATATTCGCAAAAAGGCATCTATGATGCTCCTTGTCTTTTCTAAAATTTTTGAAAGTTCTGTTGGTAGTTTCATTAGACATTTTACTATGAACAATCAGCGTGACTATTCAATTACCTAAGTAACGCCCGAATACTGAAAGTCTTACTTAAATATCGTCGGCATCTCTGTCATTTTACAAAGAATTTGTGGTGACAGAACTTTACTTAAGCGTGACTTAAAATTGAGTAGCGTTTGAGTATATCAGCGTTAGATTAGTAATTTGTTCTAATATAGAACTAAGCTTCAGATTTGTGAATTTTATATTACTTAGCATTTTTAAATACAAATTAATATCACAAAAAAATAGTTTCGGGATTTATGTCCTCTACTAAACAAAGTATTAACAACATGGGGATATGTTGTTAATTACTATCATTATCTTACCTTAATAACAAAAACATTTCTTCCCTCGTTATGAACCCGTCATTATTCAAATCGTAGACTTTAAAGCAGTATCCTATTCGTTCTTCCATGTTTCCTTTAAGTAGCACGCTGAGCCCTTTGACCCAGGACTCGAATCTTAAGGATCCCTCCCCTCCTGCCGCACCTCTCTCCCAGGTCATCCACATACGCTCCAGGATGGCTTCTTCAGTGACCAAGTCGAAGGTATTGTGCATCACATCGCGGAAGGTACTCTGGTCTATACCCTGCAAATATAAAATGATGGTAAAAATAATTTTAAATTTTAGCTCAGTCATGATTTATTGACGAATTAAGAGTCAAATTAAAAACTCCTTTAATCGATGAGTACCTACGCATCAAGAGATTGTAGAATTGTTTAGAAAGCAAAAAGAGAGATACCTATGCCCGAATGCCGTTGCCATTTGGCGTTCCGTTGTCCCTGCCTACTAGGTACTAGGCGTAACGATATACGGTAATGGCGATGATTAAAAATGTTTATTCATTTTCACCATTCACGGGACAGGTCCCAGACATTTGGAAGGCCGGGCCGAAGCCAACTGTGCAAAGGCCCTTTAGACAACTTAAATCTAAACGTAATGGACACATAAACCGGCGACTATCCGTGTATGCACTATGGAAATGCACCCAAGGATAGCCTCCGTTAGTGTAGAACTATTGTAGATAATGGAAAAAGGCAGGGCTATGTATGGGTCGCTGTGGACTGGTAAATTCGGAATTGGATAACTATGGCATCTGCCGAAACAATGTAATTACTACACGTAAAAATGGCATTCATATTAATACCATGAAACGTGAAAGTTCAAGGAGTGAGTTTATTTACTTTCTTTACATTTCGTGACCAAATAATGAAATATACCTAAAATAAATCTTAACGTGCATTATTTTTGTTAAAACCTTTTTATTGCATGAACTACAAATTATTTTGACCCCAATATCTAACATAATTTAAATTTTTCTTCCGTATTTTCCTGTTCATGCAAGCATAATAGTCGTCAACGTCATTTTAAAATTGAACCAACTTTAATTAAGTTAAATGCGCCGTAATTTGTCAGAAATGTCATTTTCATTTCCTTGTTGTGGGAAAATTAAATATGATAATTTCCTGCCCTTTGCATTACTGTGTACACAATTTACAGCTCTATGTTAAAGTGGGTAACATATTTAAGTAATATAATGCTTTTAGGCACGTTTACAATTTCATTCATAAAAGTCATGATATAATGCATTGGTTCTGCAAATAAAATGGTCATGGTCAAACGGCGGTCCATCAAATACCTCTATATATATAAAAACAGTATCCCTAATAAAAATAGGACTTTCATAATTTTAGACTGAAAAAAGACTTTTAAAAAAAAAGAGTAACGATGTAATTTCTTGCTCTTTCTTCTCCATTCGAAACTACACTTTGGAACGAGCATCTAGATGCTCCAATAGCTAGATCCAAAGTGAAGCTAGCTTCACTGTACTGATAATTCAATTTGACGTTTCAAAAGTGCTTAATTATTTACGAAATAATTGAAATAGCTTCCTAAGTGTTCTGACTATGACTTTCTTTCCTAGCATTTATTACACGAAGTTCTTAATACTTAAAAAGTTACTTTGATCAATATTTAACTAATACATTCCCCAAAAATATAAGTGTTGACGTTGAAGTACAGGGACATGACATACTTACATATTTATCAAACATAACCAAAAATTCTATACATTCAATACTTTCTCATAGATAACCCCATTACAACTTCATAGGAGGAATACACAGCGTGGCCTAATTCCGGCCCCTAGCCATATGAACGCACGCAACGCAAGACTTCGAAGAAAGATTACTACCGTGCCATGTACCCAACTGTGATGCCGTGATGTTATTGCCAATAAAGAGTAATGGTTCCCGTGAACTGAATCACCACAGTTTTTGTCGTAGTTCCGTATCGACAGGTTGGACTAAAATAGGTAGATACGTGTGACTTTTTTTTCTTTTTAATTTTTCATCGATTATGAAACTAGAACTGAAAACAGTAATGACTGAAGTCTTTTTTAATTAATAAAGGATTTTTTGTGTTTCATGCTACTTAATTTAAATACTTATTATTTTGTTCTAGATTGTTGATGGTAAAAAAACCTAAAACAACTCGTGATCTCTTCACTGGACAAATAAATATTCTGTTACAAAATTACCAACCGATCCACAGAACCATTAAACAATAGATCAACTCAGAATCGCGATTTCTACAGTACCTACTTTTACTCGTAACAAACATATTTACGGTTATTGGACAATTGAACATTTCAAAAGTAATCGTATTTGAAAAGTGAGGTATTCAACTTTTATGATTATTTATTGTTATAGGACTGTCTGTTTGATTTGACGCTTTTGACTCTAAGAGCGCCTTTATGCTAGCGTTTGTCCAGCGTAGGCGTTCGATAAACGGCTACGTGGCGCATACGTTTCTACGCTAGACAAACGCTAGTGTGAAGGCGTTATAAAACTGATGACTGGCTTTATTTTTTCTCTATTTGACTTCATGTCATGATAAGATTCCACTTATTGTCAATTTTTCATTTTCAGATCCCACAGTATTAAACTGTCAAACACCAAGCGGTCACCGGTGACCGCGACCTATTGTTCTTTAATTGTGTCTATAAAACCGGTACTCGACGAGTTAAGGGAGGAATCACATGAAAGAAAAAGAACTTAGTACTGTGATGACATCTAAAAGAGGAAAGTAGAAGAAGGACATACACTACGCATTCGTATTAATTTGACAAGAGGGCAGGATAAGGTTAAAATATCCAGTCACAGAAGTCCGTCAACGCCTTTGTTACATATTTGCAAGACAATACTTACGTCAGTGTCGTGGTGGCCCGGAGGTTTAAGAGGCCCGCTTCTCATGCATTAGGGCGTGGGTTCGAAACCTACCAACGGCAAGTACCAATGTGACTTTTTCCGAGTTATATGTACTTTCTCAGATTATCTAGACACCACTGACAAACGGTGAAGGAAAACATCGTGAGGAAACCTGGGCTTATAATTTCTAATTATAAGTCTGTAATCGCTAACCCGCAAGCGTGGTGATTAATGCTCAAACCTATTCCGTGTGAGAAGAGGCTTTGCTCAGCAGTGGGTATTTATAGGCTGTTGAAGAAGAACTTACGTCTATCTTAGGTGGATGTCCAATGGCCGAGGCTGGAGCCGCCGCTTGCGCAGCTATCACTAGCCGACGGTACATCGTGTACAGTGCTTCTATCTCAGCTCTGTAAATTAAAAATCTGTCTTTTATGTCTTACATTTAGGCCGTCTTTGATTTCTAAATAGCAATTTCCAAAAGAGAAGCTCCTTACAAAATTAAATTTCGAATCACCGATATTCAATTGAATAATTAATACAGATATTACCTCTAAATTCAACTAAAAGCACAATAAAGGTTGAAAACTATAATCGCACTATAACAATAAGAACAGGCCGTGCCAAAAACCTAGTACCTATCTAAGTAATAAACAAGAAAAAATATACAAGTAAAAGTAAAAAAAGGCTCGTAAAAAACATGTCTATGCCTATCTCATTGTGAACACAATAATTTGTCCGTTTTTACGATTAAATATGAAAGTAACAGAGTTCCCTCGTAAAGTAGGCAGATCGGTATCACGCAGTCCTTGTACGAGTAACCTAGTGTTTTGTCAAATAGGTACCTACCTACATGCGATTACAAAAAAAGTTCAGAGGCAAAAAGTATGTTCTATTCGTGTTTACTTGAACGCGACGCTCTGTCACTAGGTAATGTACGCGTACTCAGAAATAAATATTTCAATTAAATTATTTCCATTAGACTTCACAACCTTTTAACACTTTTTTATCTGAAAATTCACTGCCAATAAAATGTTTTCTGCTTAATAATTGCACGAATCAAACAACAATGTTAACCGTAGTTTTAATCTGTAGTTTTGTATAAAAAATCTAATTTTGAAGTTTCGGAAAAAATTGCTAATACTAATCTCGAACAAAATAAGTAAAAAAAAACTATTCCAAATTCAAAAACTTTTATCTGGCCACAAAAAATTCAAACATCGAACTTTTAACACTAAAACCGCTGCACTCACTTGCTAAAATGAGTTTGTTTATACAAGGCATCAAGATGTTTCTCTTTTAGTTTCTTGTTAGGCATCATTGCACGTGTTTCATATTTGAGACCGTAATATATTACTTATGTTCACAAGGCGACCTACTCGGGTCGCCTGAAACCGTCTACTGAGCTACCATACTACTACGAGCTACGAGCTACGAGCGATGAAGGGACAAAACCAATAGTAACCTTCGATGTTTTATCGCTCACAAATTGAATGGGTTAATTTAGGGTTGAATGCGTGGTGTTAATAGACGCGCGCGGCTTTTTTTTATTAGGTATGTTACCCCTCACATTTGCCCTTTTCATGTTTACGATGCATTTTTAAGGCGGTTTGAAATGTGTGACTCAACGTTTTATGGGTATCCTTTAAAAGCATTTTCTTTCTACATGGAATAAATTTGGGAAACCCATTTTATGATGAACGATAAAATATTTATGCTAACCGGAATTCGGTGGTAATAAGCATTTTTGGAGGAAAAACCTTAAATGAAACTTTAAAACTTCTGAAAAATCAGACCCAACAGAGTTCTTCACTACTTTTCGCATCCAATTAGAAAACTACATTAGAAGTTCAGCCTGTAGTCGAGCTCGTCACGTCACTCAACTCAAACCACAGCTCGTGTCAACAACACTGCTTAACAACTCAATATTTTGTCAACTTTAAGCCACGGATACACTAGGGGGCAAATGTATCAGCGATGTGTCGAACGAAGCCGTCCGATTTCGCCTGACATATCTATACTAATAATATTATAAAGCTAAAGAGTTTTTTTTTGTTCGTTTGTTTGAACGCACTAATCTCCGAAACTACTGGTCCGATTTGAAAATTTATTTCAGTGTTGGATAGCCCATTTATCGAGGATATAAAATATCACGCTACAACCAATAGGAGCTGAGCAGAGCGTGTGAATCCGCACGGAAGTAGCTAATACAGTAATCACGCGCGACTTATGTCCACACGGCGTTAATGTTGCCAGACATTGTCGACTAAAGTCCGACAGGGTCGCGCTACTTCACCCAACGTCACTGATGACACGTGTCGCAGGACATTATTTTGTCCCCTAACTATCCTTGGCTTTAATCAGGATTATTTTTCATTTTCAATTGTACTCACCTAGTGCAGCAGCGTAGAATACATTTTGACACCACGCCTAATATTACCGCCACTGTCGTAAGAGCTTTCTGATAAACCTGAACATAGGTTGGTACCTATGAGAACTATAAGGGAAACAGTAAATACTTGTACTGACTTGGAAAACCTAGTGGTCTTGATAAGCATTTCGAAGACTTTCTGCGGTGGCTTCCCTCCGACTACAGGCTTCTTTCCTTTAGGTTTGGGTCTTGGAGCTGGTGCTGCAGCTTGGTTCTGAGGACGGTCAGCTGCGTGCCGACCTGCAGTCAGAAATAGGCGGACCCCACGAAGCGCTATGGCACTAGCCGCCATGCTAATCTGCTTGCCGTCGGATGCCATTGACTGTTGAAAGAAAGAAAGAAATAATAATAGTTTATCTATACACCATCACAAAGTACAATAACACATAAAAAAAATCCAGTTGGAATATGTGGGGCCTATGTACTCTGTTTTTTTATTATGTATTGTCCTCTGTGTTGAATGTGTGTACATAAATAAATAAATAAATAAAAAAGAATATATACCTATATATGGATATCCAAAAAGCAGTATAAGGTAAAGTAAAATTATTTTTCAGTGCTCCTTAATATATTTTTATAAGGTGCACCTTTTTATCCTCCTTGTTTACCAATATTATTACTATCACCTTTTTAAATCATGTAAGGCTGATTTTAATCTGCTGACCGTTATTCTAAAAAGCTTTATAGAAGTTCATATTACAGTAAGCGTGCGGTCAGCGCGACTCTAAAACCAACATTAGTGATCATTTTAACTTAAACTTAATTGACATCTTACAAAATATTGTAAGCTGACGTCAATTCGAATTCTCGAAATGATTTCGCCTGTCATTGGTCATGGTTATTCTCACAACCACAACCAATTACATGGCGGACCACGGTCGAGCTCATTTCGAGAGTTCGAATTAACATCTTACTGAATAGCTTAGCTGTAACAGAAGATATTATTATCGGCTTAACCCGTGGTATGCCGGAACGTAGATATCCGCGAGACACAATATATTTTCTATTGTGTCTCATATCGTAAATAATCATTAATTCTAAAAACTTTTCTAGAAATTCTAAATACTATAGGTATCTAGCTAAAACTTTCCTTTTCATTCCACACATTGGTAAAGTCAAACAATTTTCGTCGAAAGTGTAGCATTAGGTAGATATAGTTATAACGTACCACAAATTCCTTGTACCCATTAAGTCTGATGCATAGTTCCTGAATAACATGCTAACCTAGTTCAAATAGTTGGTGCGAGGCACCGACTACTGCCGATTACCGAGCTGATACAATGCTTAATTACTAAGTTAGTTAGCAACTAACTTTGGTTTTTGCCATGTAGGCAGGGGAGATAACATCGTTGTGTATGTGTGTTCGTTTTTGAAGCTATTTTTTTGCTAAAGTATCCTGTAAACCATTTCAGAGCTGGAAAATCTTAGAAAAATTACACATAATCCTAAGTACCATATGTCCCACAAGTCCACAACATACATATGTATAATCACAACAATGTTTTTTTTATTTCCTAAATAAAATAGTGCAGACGAAACCGACGCATGATATATTATAGGCGGATAAATCCGCTAACGGTAGTTTTATGTAGTTTTGATATAGATTTCAGAAAGTTTCGTCGTGTTTTACGTAAAAACTACGCGTGTATAGGTAATCAGTTTTTGTTTCCAAGAAATTTATGTTTTCCAACAATAATTTATGTACGACATGAAATATGTAGTTGTAAGGAAAAGTTGTATTAGGTAACTACCTAGCCACTATCTGTCGTTTTTTATGGCTACGTTTGTATGTAGTCAGCCGCAAAAAGTGGAGTAAGAAAGATATTTATGTATTAGTATTTTCGCGTATTTTCCTAGAAGATCAATCGATTAATTACCACTATTTTTGTACTTCGTACTTTTCTCTATAATATCTGGATTATAAACATCAACTTAGGTAGGTAGGTAGATACTCCCCTTATTCGTAAATCGTCAAAACAGAACCAAATTATTTCCACAATATTGTAAAGTTATGAACGAAAATTATAAGTATCCTAATACCAGTGCACTCCCTAAAACTTATTACATTACTTTCCCTGAAATACTTTCATCGTTATTAAATTCCATACCCATTCATTGGAACAAAAACAAAGCTGAATAAATTATTGAATTCCTCAGTATAATAAATTCAAATAATTTGTCAAAACATTACGTTTCCTTATTGTGGCTTACGTGTGATTAATCTTTTGATTTCTACTTCGATAGGCCGATTAAAATACGACTGTGTAAATGTGTCAGTCAAGGAGTAAGCTAATGACGCTATATGTATGCAGATAGGGCATAATAAAAATCGAGGAGATAAATGTTTTGTGGCACGAACCTCTATGTGGAACAAAGTGTTCAAATGCGAAGTTTATTTTGTACTTACAGAAAGCATTAAGCGGAATATTTGTGGCATGTGTTTAGTGATTTATGTGTATGTACCTAGATCTTATTTCAGATTTCACTCCGTAGAGCGGCTGGTCGTTCAGGGGAAAATAGAGGGAAACATATCATGATGCAGATCCCTTATGCGCTGGACTGATCAAGACAAATCGGCAACAGGAAACCCAGTGTCAGACTGCGCCGTACAATCCACAAACAGGGAGATATGGCAGGAGATCGTGAGGAAAGCAGTATCCGCCTGCGACACAAATACGGCCGCTCTGCCGGGTGCAAAACAATAGAGAAGAGAAGAAAAGCTCTTATTTAAAGATGACTGAAAGATTCTGAACAGATTAAGAAATTAGTTTTTTTTATAGCATAATTCGGTAAAATAGCAGACGGATCACCTGGCGGTAAGCAATCGGCGCCGCCCATGGACTCTCGAAACACCAAGGCGTTACAAGTGCGTTACCGGCCTTTTGGAATTGGGAATTTGAGGATTGTGGAGGATTCAGGGATTCGGGACACAGGAACTAGGGAGGGGAGTAATTGGGCCTCCGGTAACCTTACTCACACGACGAAACACAACGCAAGCGTTGTTTCTCGTCGGTTTTCTATGAGGCCGTGGTATCACTCCGATCGAGCCGGCCCATTCGTGCCGAAGCATGGCTCTCCCACACTTATATAGTGTTAAAAAGATTCCTATGTCTTCGCAATTATTCTACCTACTTCGAATAGTAAAACAATTTCTTCTTCCTTTTTTCCTTCAAATAGATACAAATAGACCAACTACCGTAGGAACGACAATTTTACATTTCAATCCATATTACAGAAAATCTACAATAAACTTTCTAATAATCCTTTCTAAATTAATTTTCAGTAGGTATAATTATAGAGAAATTTATTTAACAATAACCGCATCGTTATACACATAAATTAAGCCTCGAATCGTTTTAAATTGTCTCCAAAGGCGCAACATTGTAATACCTGCTACCTATTTGAAGAAAATTTACATTAATTTCTATAAAGCTTTGATCCTATCGGTAAATATTTTCATTTTACACGAAATCATTGATTTATTATAATAATTGTGGGAATTAATAAGTTCCCTTATAACATTCATTGAAAGGGTTGCTAAACACAAATAAATCTACCTATCTATACCTTAAATTTTTGAATCATTGGCATACCTACAGTATTTAGTTTATTTTTATTGAACACTAACGACTACAGGATTTTTTTATGGGACAAGCCAGCCCCAATATCCCAAAACCGCTGCAACTCCTGTAAGCCAGGATCTACAGTAGATACCATGCAATGCCATGAAAACACCGGAACACTGAAATCCGACGCGTGTCAGGGATATGAATAACTGTCTTGGTTCCCGTAACGAAGTGAATCAGAAGATATTATAAGAAAAGAAGAAAAAAAACGATAGTTTCCACTTACCTCGGTGAATTACTGCAGCAGACAGAATGAATTAAGCCTAAAGGCACAAAAAAGAGACTGTACAACT